ATCAGAGTTGTACGAGATGGGGCTGAGGATATAAGTAATTTTCAAAAGAAAGGATCATTTAAATGTTTATGTGATATCCCACATAAGTGAGCAGACACAGAAGAAATGAACTAAACCTTGAAGGACGCTCACCTTATTGCCTCTGAAAGATACGTTACAGAACACCAAGACGTCTCACGAGTAACCATCACTGGCAAATCCAGCCTGCACCGGGTTTTGTTTCGATCCTTGTTCACATCAGAATATTCCTAGAATAGTAGATTGGAAATGAGAAGAAAATGAAAAAGTAAATTTTCTAGAAAGAACAGAGGAAAGATGCTGGAGAATAAGTGACAAAGGGGAGCATCTATGAGCAACAGAAGACTCAAAGCAACAACTCAAAAAATGTTTGTTAAGTGAATAATATAAAAGAAGCCTGAATATTTTAGATTTAATCCAAAATGTGATGCAAAGCCTTTGATAACCTCCCAGTAATTTATCAGAAGGGCATGAGTGAAAAGCAGAAACCACTTTTTCGATATACTTAGGAAAGAAATAGAGTATCTACCTTCCAGTCCTGTCCTCAGCTATTGTGTGCCCCCAAGCAGTCAAGTAATACTGCATTTATCCGTAAAGTGTAGATTATTATTCCTACCCACGTTAGAGTAATTTTGTAAAGATAATTGATATCACTTGAAAGGGCTTTAGAAACTATTAAGTATCACGCAACTGTTTAGAACTTTATTTTTATTTTCAGGAGTTAAGGAGATACCTAAGGAATAAAAGGTACTCTTTTTTTAATAATGCAGAGATGAGCAATGATCCAAGCATCTAGATACTATCATAATTACTTAGAAAATGACCTGTCTGGTGTTTTATGACCCTTATTGCTCAGAAAAGTTTTATAGCATATGGTAGCCTCTATAAAGCCTAAATAAATGTGATTATGTAAAGGAAAAGGAAAACAGACCAAAGTGGTATTAAGGGTATTCTAAAAATGTAAGTTAACCCCACTGACTCAGTTTTTTGAGCAAGAAAAAAAAAAAACTGGTTTCCTCTGCTTCTGCTCTCCACCCACGTGGCATCACAAAGAGTTCCAGATGTGGTTGAAGCACATCTGTAAAGGTGCAAGGAATCGAGTCTACCTATGCTGATCACCAGAATATTACCCGTCGTCATCAGTTGGACCCAGTTTATGGCTGTTCCTCTCCCTCGGGTCTTCAGGAAGACAGCCCAACAATTACCGAGAATGAATATAGGTGGAAACTGACCTTCACAGTTTCCTTGGCTGTGAACTCAGGCATATTTATAAAATACACAACAGAAATATGCCCTTTGATTGTTGTTTAAATTTGAATGCTCCCCTCATGAGTGAAATGGTAAAAGTCCATCCTACTTGATTCAGGTCCTCCTCTTTTCTCATGTTGGTTCTGAGTCCCGTGCTGTTGGATCCTTTCTATGGCTCCAGATGATCCGAGTGATCAGAACAATGGCAAACCTTCCAACTCGGGTGGTTGTAAGCCAGTTCTACCACACCTCACACCAGCTAGATCATGGCTAATAAGAGCAAGCCTCAGACAACTCAAACACTGTTCACGACACATACTCAAGGACACACCTCATTTCCCCTCTTGCCTTTTCTTTCTTTTTTTTTTTTTTAACTTTATTTATTTATTTATTTGTCAGAAAGAGCACACAACCGGGGGAGTGGGAGGCAGAGGGAAAAGCAGGCTTCTGGCTGAATAAAGAGCCCGATGCGGGACTTGATCCCAGGATCCTGGGATCATGACCCGAGCTGAAGGCAGATGCTTAAACAACTGAGCCACCCAGGCACCCCTAACTTATTTTATTGAAATTCAGTTAGTCAACATATAGTGTATCGTTAGTTTCAGATATTCATCCAGTGATTCATCCACTGAATATAATGGCCAGTGCTCATTACATCGCATGCCCTTCTAAATGCCCATCACCCAGTTACCCCATCCCCCCACCTACCTCCCCTCCAGCAACCCTCAGTTTGTTCCCTATAGTTAAGAGTCTCTTATGGCTTTTTCTCATGTCTTAGAATGGTCTACATTGCTCCCAACTCAAGCTTTATTTTCCATTTTTGGTCCTGATTCTATCCATTGGACTAGAAGACTCATCCTGGTTTCTTCTAGTTATCCCTTGGTTCACTCCATAATACTTGGTTTGTAATTACATCTGTTTTTTTCCTGCTGTCCATCTCAAACTCCTGGAAACCAGCCAAGGAAATATTTCATAACACCATTAAAAGCAATAAAGCTGAGTTTGACTTAGATCTCAATTTCAGTGGAGGAGACCTTACCACTTACATCTGCTGCAATCTCATTCTACTCTAGCCCACTCTATTCTCCAGCACCAGGGTGGGGACCATCCTACGGAAAGGGAACCTCAGAACAAGGAAACTCTAATGCTGTGAACACCTCTCAGCAAACTAGTCCTTAACTAAGTCTCATTGTTGACAAGAGCGAACCAAAATGAAAAGGAATTTAGATACTATCTGCAGTGAATCTCCAATCACAGGCAATAATTTCTCAAAATACAAACTTTAAATATAGTTGCCACTCAATTGCGGTATAGCTCTTCTGATACCATTTATATTTGCTAATGTACAAATGTGGGTAATTCAGAAAACAAAGGAGTTTCCTTCTCTTTTAGTCCATCTTCCGTAAAATTCTGTAAAACTGGTAAAGTTTCATAGTTGTCCCAAATCACACGCTTCCTGTTTTTCTTTCTCCTATGCCACATGACTTAGAAGAATTATAAAGAAAATCCTGAAGTTTTTCAAGGGCTTTTAATTTTCTTCTTCCATGCCGTATGTCTTACCCAGGGCTCTACATTCTGTATTTCATTTTATCCTCACAGTAATTGTATGAAATAAGTATCTTAATTCCTATCTTAAGAGTGTTAAATGATTTAAGGTCACACAGCTGGCCTTAAAATGGTCAAAGCAGTATTTGAACCTTGATCCTTCTAACATCGGGGCCTTTGTTCTTGCACTGTTCCCTGTTTGATGAGAAGAGAAATTCAGCCTCAAAAAAGTGTTCTCAAGATAAAAAGGAATGAGGTATTACACTATAAAAATACAGGGAGGCACCTCAAATGCACAGTATGGAGGGAGAGAAGCCAATCAGAAAAGGCTACATACTGAGTCCAACTATATGATGTTTTCGAAAAGGCAAAACTATGGGAACAGTAAAAAGATCAGTAGTTGCCAGAGATTGGGGGAGGGTGGAATAAAAGACAGAACCCAGAGGATTTTTAGGGCAGTGAGACTCTTCTGTATGACACTAACATTGCGGATGCACGTCATTATACGTTCATCAAAACACATAGTTTAAAAGACCAAACCCTAATGTGAACTCTGGACTCTGGGTGGTAAGGATGAATCAGTGTAGATTCACCAGTTGCAACAAATGTCCCATTCTGGTGTAAGCTGTTGACAGTATGAGAGGTTGTGCATGTGTGGGGACAGAAGCTATATACAAACTCTCTGTACTTTCTGCTCAATTTTGCCATAAACTTAAAACTGCCCTAAAAAATAAAAATCTGTTAAATAAAGATCTCCCCCACTAAACAGACATCATAGACTTGATGTTACTTCAAACCTTGCTTGATTTTCTACCTGTGGCACTTAAGATACTAAAAAGAAAATAAAAACTAGTCGAAGCTAAGCTAGTATAGAATGTGACTCTAGAAGTGAAGCTATCCACAGGCATCCTAATTCAGTCTCAATTTCCCTTTCTCTCTCCTCCCTGTCATCTACATTGCCTGCCTTTCATTGTTTTACCTCTTTTATCCCTACCACACAACCTTCATATCCAGGAGTGGAAAAGAAAAAATAAAAACAAAATCTTTTAACAGTACTCTAAGTATTTATGGTTTCCCCAACTACTGCTTCCAAAACCTAGTGGTGTAAAGCAACCATTTATTATGCTCATGGGTCTGTGAGTAAGATTTCAGACAGGGCACTGTGAAGATGGCTTTTGTCTGATCCCTGATATCATGGCCCTCAGCTGGGCAGACTCCACGACGTGGCTGACTGAGCAGGTTGGGGCTGGACTCACTTGGATGCCTTTTTTTTCATGTTTCTGGGTGGTGAGGCTAGCTATCAGAGGGAACCTCAACAAGCCGGTTGGTCAAAGTACTGGTCCATGGGGGTCTCCATTAATCTCTCCATGTGGGCTAGTTTGGGCATGGTGGCTGTGTGCCAGGAGAGCATCTCAAAAGAGCAAGGGGAAGTGCATTACACCTCTATGATCTAACCTTGGAAGTCATATAGGATCACTTCTACCATACTCTGTTGGTCAAAGTGACCACTAAGTTGTACCCCGGTCCAAGAGGAAGGGACACAGACCAAAACTGCCAGGTGGGAGGAGTGTCAAGATCATACTGTAAGCAGATATGGGATAGGAGATATTGTTGGAGCCATTTGTGATAGATCCTATCACAGTAACTTTTGCTATATCTTGTACCTCAAATACTAAGTATGTATTGCATTTGAATGTTCGGTTAGACTTTATTTCTGATTGCCTATTTCAGATTATGAACCACAAAATGACAAGGACTGCCATGTTCAGTTAATTTACACAAGTTCCCCCATAGCAACTTGTACTTGACAATCATAGTATATGATATTATTACTAGTGCTGCAATTGCTGATAGATATATGCACTTAAGCAATCACTATTTTTTACATTTGTAATGTGTTGCAGAAAATCTCCACACTAACCAAAAAGACATATAGCATCTTTACAGTGCAAGTAAATTTTATTACTCCAATTAGGTCTTAGTTGCTTGAGAGGAGTACATAAAATCTCACAGTTGGGGGGGGGGGGATATCACTACCCTGAAGAAACTATCTGGTTTCGTCCACAATTAATCACTTTGGTTTCAATAGATTATTACACGGTCTAGATGAGTAATCTGTGTAAGATCTTGACCATGATTGTTGACCTCTTTTGAAAAGTGAACTAATGAAAGCACTTCTCCCTTTTCAGTTGATTTCATAGGTGGCTTTGATTCTTATGGCTATCAAGGGCCTCAGAAGACATCTCATTTACAACTACAGCCTATGTACATGTAAGTACTGTACTTCGGAGATAATCTTCTGTGATCCTAAAAGATAATTAAGTAAACATTATTGTGGCACAAAATAGATGGCAAGGAGTTTTCCTCCAATTACATACTTCCAGTATTTTCTCTTCTATTAATATTGTCTTGGCTAGGATAATTCTATAACATTTTCTTCATAATTCTTTTTTAAATTTAACTTACCGAAATGCCATCTCTAAAGTTACCTTTAGTCTTATATATAAGTATCAAAAGTATCAACTACAGAACTAAAAGGCCTTTATTAATATACTACTTCTTTGAATTACCCCAAATTATACGTTTTGAGAATGATATAACATGGGAGGTAGTTACATGTGACTATATATAAACTATATGTTCTGGCTTTCCCAGGAGAGACTCGGTTTACATGGTTGTCCTGGCATAGTTATTACCAGTACCTCCTCTTCCTCTCAAAAGTGTTCTCGTTTGGACGATGAAAGATAGGTTATCAGTTATATATAGTATAACCCTAGTATATATAGTATAACATTAGTTATGTATAGTGTTAAAAAAAATTTAAAAACTGAACAATAATGCTCTGTATCATTTTTCTGATGTGAAAAGTGAAAATTAAGCCAGAATAGTAACACTGAAATTTATCAGACCCTTAGCTCTAGCACTCAAGAGAGCAGACATACAATCAGAGCCTGATTTTTATATCTGTGTTTAGGCAAATTCCCTTGGATAACAACTGATAACAAATTCTATATATCAGCATCAAGTGATATGCTGAATTGCAAGCGAAGATCAAAATAGAAAGTAAGATTCCAATTCATTTTGAAATGTGAGCTTCTCTCTTTGAAGATATGTGTTTGTCGTCGTTGTCCTCCACCATTGAATCATTTTACCTTTTAAGATTGTTAATGTGTAGGATAATACATGGATTTTTAGAGTATTTCTCCTCCAAGAGAGTAAAGTAATTTTTATACACCTCCTTGTAAGCTTCTCCTTAAAAGGGGAATGATCTATGCATCACGCCTGCATTTTTCTTTGGAAGTATTTGGTAACACCACCCATAAAAAAGACTTTTTCGGTTCAGAATTCAGTCAGTATGATATGTCATTCAAAGCATCCCCTCTGCAAACAGTACGTCACACGTTTTCTTTTTAGTACCCCACAATCACTGCCCTAATTCAGGCATTCATTACCTATTGCCTTCTAAATTTAGTATCTCCATCCCTTCTTCCATGAGGCTGCCAAATTAATCTTCTCAAAGTACCGTTTTGACTATTCCCTCCCTTGCCCCCAAACCATCAATGAATCCTTATTACCTACTCAGCAAAGTCCACTCTCCTCCCCATAACCTGCTGGCCCAGCCTCTCATCTGGCCCCAATATTCTGCTGAAATATTCTCTCTTCCCTTCAACCCTTAACAACACTTGACTGCCAGTCATATGCAGAAGATGCTCAGAGACACTGGGAAAATGTAATCATGAGTAAGAACTGGCTCTGTCCTCCTGAAGCTTATACTCTACTGAAGACATTAACAGTCTGATATCTCCCCTTACCCACTTTTTTTTTTTTTGCCTGCCAAACTAGAACTCTTGCTTTCTGCAAACATGATGTGTATTTTTCCAATTATCTACGCTGTTCTCTTAACACCAAACATATTTTTTTCCAAAATGAAATCCCACTATCCCTCAAATTGTATCTTAAATACATATTTTATGGAAGATTTTTAAATCTCTTTTTCCTCTGATAGTTCTCTTTTTTCCTTTTACCTAGTACTGCAGTTGTTTTCTATTTAGACTACATGTCTTCTATGCTCCCCGGAAGACTTGATAGCTTACACAAAAAGTAAAATGATAAATCTTTTAAATTCTTTACCACTCTTCTCAATATTGTAGCATAATCTTATGTAAAGTATTCCATTAAAAAATAAAGGCAAAGCAGTAAGGAGTAGTGGTTAAGATGACCTACAAAAAGCAGAGTACTGGAGATAAAATTCTTTATGACCTTGGACATACAATTTTATTTGAATAACTGTAACTATTCTCATCAAACCTAAGTTTCCTTGTCTGCAAAATAGAGATTATATAGCCTACATGCTTCATATAATTATTCTGAATTTAGAGGCACATAAGACATAAAATATGCCACAGAGTAAATGCTTAATAAACATTAACTTATTAGTAGCAACAACAATGCTATATTAATGAATATCACTCATGAAAAGACTTTATCAAGATAGAAATAAATATGTACTATATTTCATTCCCAAAGGATTTCCTCTATAAACAATGTATCACATAGAATATCTACCCAAGTAACATGTAACAGTATGTTTGTACTTAAGAGTAGACCAGAACATCTACAAAGCTTGCAATTGTTTGCTTCTGACAATATCGCATGCATTTCTTCACCATGTAGCACTTCACTGTGCTGATCAATATGCACGATCAATAAATGTGACCAAGTTATAATAAATGACATGTAACCACATATGTAGGATTAATTACAATAATAACACAAGAATGCTAATTATAGACAATAAAGTATATTGTTTCAAATCAGGCATTTATAATTCTAATGTTGTCCTTAAAGAGGGGACTCTGCAAGTTTAATATCCAACATTAAATTCCTTGAGCAAAACTTCCCATGATTTTATTAAATATAAGACTTTAAATGCCAAACCAAAAGTAATAAAAATATTTTCTTCCTTACTGCCTGGGACTGATAAAAGTATCTAAGAAGTTTCAAGTCTTACTGCTCATGAAATAAGTAAAATATTTAATGAAATTCAAATTTAGGAAGTTAAAAATACTTGCATATAAGAAATTGCTAGTCAAAATACAATCCTGTCCCTTCTACAAAACATCCCCTATGACACTTCAAGTACTACAACACTAAGATTTTATTTTACAGATGAGGAAACTGGATGAAGAGGTCCCACGACTTGGTAGTTGTACAACCCCCCATTATCAGCCAGTTTTCCTAACCCCTTAATTCCGTTTTCTCCAAATTCTCAGACAGACCTGCCAGTTTGCTCTGGCATTCACTGTGTTTCCTGATTTTCAGTTTATTCATTTATACTTCTCCACACTAACTTAGCTGCCATGCTTCCAAACAGGCCTGCCTCCCTCCCTTTCTCTGCATTCTCTTTATCCCCTTCTGATTTTACATTATGCCCTGAGGAATGAAGGGCTTTTTCAACGTGGTAGCCCTCGAAATCAGTCACTTGAGAGCCACTGCTTGTTCAGATCCGGTGAAAAGCCAAAAGGACTCACGCACAGACCTCATCCCCTGCTGAGAGGCAGGGACCCGAACATCTCCTGTGTCTTTGTCCTTTGGGTGTAGCTTTTCCTGTCAACCTGCCATAAATAAGTCTCATTAAGTAAGAGTAATTTAACATCACGGGCCAGTTCAAGCGCTTTAACGATATTATATAGCAACTGGAAATAAAAACTCTTCCTTACAAGGAAAGCAAATGCTTTAAAGTAATGTGCAGTTTTAGCTGTGGGGCTTCCATTATACCCAGTCAATCTATGGCTGAGAGCTTTGAAAACGCTGCCCTGACTGACTTCCATTTAGAGCCATGTTTCACCGCCTACCGTCACCCAACAGACTCTCCTCTTCAGTTAAGTTAGGCAAATGCTCTTGGCCTGTAATTCTTCCGATTATCTATAACTCATCCTGAAAGAAAAGGTTTTCATGAATTTATTTCTTAGGGTTTGGCACACCTCTTTGAAACAAATCATAGCTCTAAAGCTGCTGCTCCCACACATTCCCATGTCCACGGGTTAATTGTTTAACAAAGTAGGTGCTTTGACGACCCCTGACCTCCATGCCATTGTGCATAGAGCTCTGTCCCGGCACCCTGCTATATAAACTGCGAGAATATCCCTTGGTATCTCACTGGTAACATCTGAAAATATTGCATTCTTTTTGGCAGGCTAATTGTACAGCAATACATATTCATTTCATGTGCCCCCAGAAATGGACTTTAAATGATCATAAGTGGCCTCTTTATCCAGGAGGTTACAGACTAAAAAGAAAAGGAAAGGAAAATTGTCTCTTTTAAAACAAAATTGGGGCTTGGACTTTTTTTTTTTTTTTTCTTTTTAATTTTTGTTTGTTCTTGTGCTTGGAGAGGCGAGAAAAGGCACTGCGCTCTCCCCCTGGATTAAAAACATCTTTTCTCTCTCTCTCGTTCTCTCTCCCAGGTCGAAATAATACAGATGGCTTCAGGATGTCAGCTCCTGGACCTTTCAAAGAACTAGATTCACAGTGGCCTCCTGCATTTTATGAAGAGCAAGAAGCAACTGAGTCTAAATATATATATACATATTAACACAACAAACATAAAGCCTCCACATGCACTGGGACACACACGCGCGCGCGCGCGCACACGCACACGCGTGTTTGTGCACTCACACACACGTACACAGAGGCCCATACTAATTCCACTTGGCCTCCTTTTTCTAACGGAACCAAACATGCAGGACACGCCCGTCTTGGATTTCCTGAAAGCAGGCTTCTTTCTCCTAGGCCTTCGGAAAGTTCTCAAGGAGACGTGTTGGCGCCCTCTGCTGGCCGTCACTAACTCCTCCGCAGCCCAGCCGGTCGGCCTCTGCCAGCTGCCAAGTCTTGGGGGGGGCGCTTTAGTTGGAGAGCGCTGTCTTCTGCACTCCCTACGTTTTGATAGCACCACGGCTATGTAGGCAATGTAATTGCAAAAACAAACAAAACACGCCATGATGACCTTGTAACCGAAGTCCGAAATGGCAGGTTGTTTGCCCTAAAGGCTATACCGTACATACTTGCCTTAACCCACCTAAGTTGTGCGCCCGAGTCTCAGTGCAGACCTCCCCAAGTCCCTTCCTTTAGGCGAACACACTGCTATTAATCCCGAATGAGTTCGAGTCTGTGTGTTTCATGTCAAGAAACAAGACTGCATAGCCCAGCAGCTCCAGTGTGTCTGTGTACAAAAGCTGCCCGCTGTCAGCAAAGTGCTTTACCATTGAACCTCCACGGTGGCCAAAACAGACAAGTGACAATAACAACAACGACAAAAATCGTCATCTTTGTAATGCTTAAATATGGTCTTCTCGAAGGGGTTGGGTGGGACGAAGTAAAATTTACTAATCTACTAAACTCATTAATCTACTGGAAGCAGAGAGCAGAAATGGCTTAACTCACTGATTTTATTTCTCGCACTCTAGGTGCTTTTATAAGTATCTACAAATATCTTTTACTAACACAGAAACAGCTGTGGATTTCTATCAACAGAGGCCAACTGAATATGTATTAGCTATGTTTACTCTTTTATATCTAATTCAAACTGAAGACCCTACGTAGGTGAACTTTTTTTCCTAACTTCAGCGTACGAGATTATTTTTCGGGTGGGTGGGGGGGGGAGCAATAGTTACCTTGGTGAAATATTTGAGATCTCTTTGTGGTATTTGGGGGATCTGTTGTGTGTTAGAGTGTATTTTAATCCTCCTGTATTATTGTGGCAGAAAAACTGTGCTGTTAACGTAGTTGGCAACAAGATGCCTTTGGAAACTTAATAGTAGGTCAATGTGTTTATGGAATATTCTGAATTCCTAGGAAATTTTGTTCTATATATTCAAGCATTATTTGGTTTTCATTAGTGGAAAACATAATTAGCTCAGGCTTGTCAGGAACTCAGAAGACTCATATTTTTTCTTGGGAAAATCCACCTGAGATGCTAAAATCAATTTTTTTAAACGAA